TGATATGTACATGTACGTGCCAGACTAAGGAACTTGAATTCTCCACCACCCATTTTTTTGTATATTTGTCTGCAACTGTTTGGTGCTCAGCTAAAAATATGTAGTGTGTGATTTATGACAAAACTGCAATTTATTCTGAACAAAAGGGAACGTGCAGGTGTCTGTTACTACTTTAGAATTATGTATGATGTATATTTGTGTACTATACACTTACATGAACCAAATGGTTTTGAATTTGAGATGCTGGTTACAGTTTCACTCCAACTTCTAAGGTCAAATTTACTGCTACTTTGTTAGTTGGTATCACTGCTACATTGTACTTTTGTAAGTTGGTATCACGTATCAACAGACATTTATATTGCCTTGGGACTAGAGGGATGTCATTGGCCTGACCTGGTTTAACTAGTATGACAAATTATACACAATACAAACAGGTACAAAACTCCACTGTGAAATGAAAAGAGAGATTCTTATCACAATATTATTAGGTCAGTGATGAAAGAAAGGAAGCATAATCGGACCATAAAGCATTTCCTCAAACCCTCTGGCACTCCCTTGGCATTACTTGTCTAGTGCATTTCTTTGGGAATCACAACTGAATAAATCACAGTTTTACCCTCAAAAGCCAATATCCCTCAAAAAATTTATGTCCATGGTCAACTAACAGATTTTATTTCTGGTGCAATAAAGATGTACTGAAAAGGTAGCCACATAAAGTCTTTCTTCTAGAGCAGTTTTCCAGCCTTTTTTGGGTTGTTGACCATACCTGAAGTGCCATATTTCAACAGGGTTTGTTGTTTGAGGATTTTGACCCAGAATTCTACAGCTAAGCTACTTATTATCAAAGTTCTGAAGTAATAAGCCATCAGTTTGGAAGGATATCAGGAGGATTTATCACTTGAGTCTGAGGACATTCAGGGTATTGAGTATCAGTGAACAGCCAAAACAATTACAAGCATGATTATAAATCAGTCTGTCCAGTTTCTCTAATATTGAAAATGAATTAATTGCAACTACATGTACAGTGAAGTCAAGGCTCCCGCCCAATTTTTGGACTTGCATGGGTACTTATCCACTTAAAAGTACACTGAGCAAGTGATGTTTGATTCATCTTTTGGTTAGGTTGAAGCAGTCCTGGAATTGAATTGAGACTAACTTTCACCAGCTTACACATGTACATGTAGGTGTGTTGGGGAGGCAGCAGAGGCCCCTCCCCCACAAACAGCTGGTCCCCCATCTGTAAAAACTATAAGCATTAAAATAACCTACTCATATTGTTCTTGTGATGTGCCCCTCCCCCCAGTTGGTAGTGTGCCCCCCAACTCCTGAAGCTGGCGATGGGGCTTTTTTAATTTGATTTTAATAGGAACTTCAGCATGAATTCAGAACATTCTGCACAGTTCGTAAATTCTTCACCACAACAGGAAGAACCCACAGTTTAAGACCAATATCAGTGACAGAATTGGACATCTTTCATAGAAGATTTTTTTCTGAAATGTGAACAAGAATTATGGTAATTCCAATCAATTGTTGAAGACAATTTCAGGGACATTCATCAGTTGCAAATATATATTTCATTACTGTGGCCTTGCATTTTTATGATATATAACCATAGTATAAAATAATTGTTGCATGCTATGATGTGCTGTGATGGGGTCCATGGGTTTCGTATACCCATGTGGAAAAAGAGCACCCTCGGCTTCCCTTAGTGTACAAAACACCATGAATCCCATCATAATAAACTTTGTACATGTAGATGTATTTATGTAGGCATGTACCGGTATTTGTTTTTGGAAATCAGTGTTTGAGATTTGCATTTTACTACACGTATTACGTGTAATTAATTAGAGTTCTAAATTGTAAAAACCAGATACATGTACCGGGTACTTGAGTGGAGCTGGACTTAGGGTTTGGTTGGTGCTACTAGTACATGTACCGACAGCTCAGTATTAGAGAGATTGTTGCAAGAGTCAGGTGGTCTTTTAACACCACTGAAAATCTTTAAAGACTGGATCTGTTCAATTTGTCAACATCCCACAGCACAGTCAAACCTGTCATTAGTGTCCAAGCATTTGAAGTTAGATTGATCCAGATCTCCTTTAATCAACTGGTACAGGGTATTTGGACTTAAATGCCATTGGTTTACTGCTTACTGAAGTTCATGGCAATTCACACATTTACATATACTGCATGAAATCTTTATACCTTTAATATATCAGCCATAATTATTACTAGGTGCCTTGGACCTGACAAATCCCTATGCCCAGTGACAACACATTCTTTTGCCTGAAAGGCTTCGTCACTTCCCTGTATGTGACAAGAAATTTCTCTTGACCAATTTCTCCAAGTACTGTTGATGTGCCGCCATCAGATGGAGATGCCCAGCTGTTAGTGCTTAAATCTCTCTTGATCATTGAAGTTACAAAGAAATAGTAATTTACGGCTTCACTTGGGTGAATGCTCTTGGAACAATCTGCACAATCTTTTGTGATGTCAAGAGTGCCATAAATCACCTTGTTGATGTCACTTTAACCTAGATTTCCAGATACAGAGGTGGAACCAGATCACGGGTTTGATGGCAGCCTCAAACAGCTGGAAGCTGCTGGCATTCTCTAGTGGGTCATGCTGCTGGTTGGAGCAAAACACTGCTCTTCATAAACACTTAAACTTTCATGAAACTAATAATTATCTAACTGAAACCACCTTGCATGGGTTGCAATGGTGGTATACATTGTATCACCAGGTCAAGCCCCTTCATTACCCTTAAATGGGTGTGAAATTGTGCTGTTCAAATGGCCTTGTATCACACTGTATCATGCACCTCTCTACCTCTGGAGGTCAACCCTTATTGAACCCTCAAAGAGCTGGGTTATTTGGCCCATGGGGGAATCTACCCCCCCCCCAGAACTCAGCCAGGCTAGACTCAATTTTTTTGGAACTTGCCATGGATGTAAAGACATTCCAGGTGAAGTTTAAACTCAATCAGACCTGTGGTTTTGTTTTTATGGTCATTTGAAGTTCAAGGCCACATGTTCATGTGTGCCAGTCCATGTGCATTGAGCACCGATTGGAAAAAGTATACATTGTGGGCCGACCTGTCTCAAAAAAATGTACGCTGTGCAAGAATGGTACATGTAGGCCTATGTTTGATTTTCACAAAATTGGTGTCAAAATGATTGCAAACTATCATCTAAAAACTCCTTAACCATTTCCTGTCGGGTGCTTTTAAAAATGGATACTGTGCACGATATGGGGCCGATGGGTACTCCCCCCATGTCCAATCCCTATACACTTTCCAGACTATTGTTACCTAACACATCCCCCCCAGAAGTCTGTAAAGAATTCCTGAGATTCTGATCAAACAATGGCCAACACAAAGGCGGGGGGGTTCTCTCCGTCCCATATCTTGCATCATATGTACATGTAAAAATGCAGTGCCTACATATGGGCGATTCAGATTGCAGATTTTGGACTGCAGTTTTTGGGAACATACTTGAAGAAAATGTGATCGGTCCAGTCGTAAATGGATGATGGTTTGGCAATGCTTTTTTGCATTCTTTTTAAAGCTTGTGTTGTACATCGATATATGGATTTTACTCGCTTTTTGCAGCTGACTTTTTAAAATAATGACAGAATCGATTGACATTTGCGACTGTCGACTTCGGGACCCGATTAATTGTGAGAGGTACTTTTTAATTTTGTGATTATGGTTTTAATATGTGTAGATATTTTTTACCTTTCACTGCATATAAATCTGTGTAAAAATAACCTCAGGGATTATCACTCCTCAATAAATTCAGATTTTAACAAGGAGCTCATGTCCCGCGAAATTGCAACGTTCGAGACTTTAATTAATTAACTCCAATTAAGTTGAAAGGTTGACACGGTCATTATTGTTCCAGATATCAGCCATGACTTCCCTCATTACATCAAACATTGGAAATTAATTCACTGCTGTTCACTTCAGGAAAAATGAACCCCCAAAGTTGAACATTATCTGATGGTACATATTTTGAGGAACCTGCCATATGCATTTAGTGTAGGGCCTACATGTACCGGCTATTCCTTGGTCATCTGTTGAATTTGTCCGAACAATGAGACTGGTTTACTTTGACTCAAGTGTTAGAGTAAGACCCCTGCCTTACCACCTGGAGTGTTTCATTGAGAGCAAGTTTTTATTGTTTCTGTGTTGATCTTGCTATGTTTCTGTAAGTAGTGTAAAAATGTCTTCCATTGCATTGCATGTGTTTGGACAGATTTCAGTATTTTAGGCTAAATTTTCTGTTTTATGAAGCAGAAGGGGTGTCCTTACCAGTGTTACCTTACAATATTTAAGAGGAAATAGGGCTTGGTATCTTTTTTGTGTTGATCTTTTTGAGTTTATTTGGTCATAAAAGTGTATACTTTCCTTGGATGCTGCCCAAAGGTGTCTACACCCTGTGCTTGATTTCACTCATAAGAGGGAGGCCTTTTCAAAGTTTATAACTTTTAAGAGAAAGAAATGTTACTTGTTGACATAATCATGGCAACTGCACCCGATATGGAACTCTAGACATTTTATGATCAGCCTCAAAACCCATGAACTGTTTGTTATTATTATGACCAAGAACACACGGGCCACAAGAAATGACCTACTTTTTAACAACCAGCCACAATAAGTTTGATCATAAATTATCAGTTGCTTTCAAGTTTTACCTCAGTTGGAATAAGTTTTCACAAAGCTGACAGACCATGTGAGCGGTGTCCTCCGCCCAATGTCCATAAAGCAGCTCTCAGGTGATCAACTCTCTGTAGGCATGTCAGTTTGAAGCCAGGTCCGTCAGGTAGTAATGTAGTGGTGGGACCAGGTCCATGTAGGATACATCTGTGCATTTTTTATTCTTGCAGATGCAGTCATAAATTTGAAATTGATTTGGACTTGACTGTTGGTCCAGTGTCACCTTTCCTGTGTTTCTGTATAGTATGCAATGAGTGTATATATGTCAGAGATATCAATACATGTACTTCAATTGTGGATGGAGCAGGAATGCAAAATGTTGATGAAGGTACATGTCTATGGGAATGTATGTCAAACGTAGTACAAGGTAAGTCAAAATACATGCACACGTTGCTTTAATCACTGACTCTACTTGTACATCATGAAATTGTGCAGTCTATTGTTAGGACTTCAGGTCTTGGTCATCTTTGTCTAATTTGTCATGTTTGCCATTGTTGTGGTGTAGACTCTATACCGGTACCTTGTCCATGTACACGTGGAAGAACTTGCTTTGTGCATTGCCTGAGTGTGTTCATGTACATGTACTACGTGACTGTGTACAGTCTGTTTGTGAAGTGGTCTTGCCCCAAGACTGGTCTTACTATTTTGGCCGATGCACCATGCAGGTGACATGAGCACAACTGAATAGCATTACCAGTAGAGGGCGCTGTATTTACAAGTGACGAACTGGCAGACAATCTGTCTTGTAGAGTCTGGCAGGCTTACCTGACAACTTTCTGACCATACATGTACCTCACGTGCTCAAGTTACATGTACCATGGTCCAAGGTAGAGTTTGAAACTTGAAGATTGATGCAAACACCTTCCAGTATCAGGAAGTTTTCATGCCGAGATGCGAATTCGGAATGTAGATTGCGTCATTCAGAGAAAACAGAAAACAAAGGAACCCTGGCCCTGTGTTCCTAGTGGATAAACCCTTGTGCATGCCAAACAATGCATGTACATGTACATGCTTCCATATTTATTAGAACAGATAAAATCAGAGAAAACATGTTTTTCTTAGGGATGCTTTTTAAAATTTTGTGCACTGCGTGCCTTACAGTGTAAGAGCATTGTAGTCAGTGACAAGTCCAGGATTGAAAAAGGGTGGCCCAAATAATGTTGATTACTTGTAATAACATGTATGAACCATGCGAATCCTGTTTAGTTTTTAAAGAAATTTATGTACATGTACTTGATGTTGTGAAATCCTGATCACACGACCTACCAAAGCAACAATTTCATATTCTCACCACTGACGGGATCATTTTGCCTTGTTTATTATTCATTGAAAGTGGTCCGGTCTTTCATAGAATGAATTTTGTCACAAACAGCAACACATCTGTTTGATGTTGTGTGACGGTGAAGGGCAAGATTAGGCAAGTGTAACTGAGCCTGTCTGTCAGGAAGGAGTCACAGATGCTGTGGGTTAGCCTGGCACAAACTGAGTGTGTGTCAACAATATTATCCAACCAGGATTCCCAGGCTAGCTCATCCAGAAATATGCTCACGTTTCATGTCTATAGTGTTTTCTCAACCCAATATTTAGAAATGTTGTATTGTCTTATTGGGGGAAAAACAATCTTAGGCGTGGGATTTATTTTTAGTCACATTGATCAAGAGCGCAGCACCTTTTAGTCTTGAATTATATTTGCTGCTTGATCTTTTGAGACTTTAAACATAACCATGTGGAATGGTGCTCAGAGGTGACATTCTCTCTGTAAACGTTGAAGATTGTCCAGTAGTTGGTTGACACGTGCTTCGCATTGTGGATGCAAGAGTTAAAGATGTACATGTACATGAATGACCAAAATAATATTTCAATCCCACCGGTCAATTTCCGGAGGGTGCTTTTTTCTGCATGAGGCAGAAAGTTTTAAATGAAAGGTACACGTACAGGGATGGCAATCCAAAGGTACTCTGAAGAATTAATTACATTTCTTAAAAAATACAATGATGTTAAAGGATAGTTATCCACATCGCCTCTGTGACCACTTGAGAATCATTCAGCCTATACAACATTACTGCCAATGTTGGTAATTGAAAAATGACAGCAACACTCATTGTGCATTAGCTTCATGTATCAAGTAACAGCTTGCTCTCATTGGTTATTGCAGTCTCTTCATACACTTCAAAGTACCCATTGATGAAGTGATGTGGATGACTCAGAAACATCAAATTGGTTACCTTGGCAATAATATTACTCATTCATCAGAGATAGTCTCTAGATTGCTCAATTTGGCTTATGAATTCACCAACAGTCACTCCTCTAGGATTAGCCTACTTAACAAGTATGTGGTACCTGCACAGCTTCATTGTGCCTTAGCTATCAAATGATGTAAAACAAGGGGTATGCATACCCATGTGTCTTTAATTCTCTGCTGTTTAAAAATAGCAAATATACTCAGACTGTAGGAATGGTTTAACTGAATATTCATCTGTTTAAAATATCCTTATGCCCCCAAAATTACTTGTAGTTCTGCTTCCCATTACATGCCTCCCCAAAATTGGGTCGGTAGGTCAGAAAATGTTTTTCTGTCTTTTTTTGTGCTGACTGAATGGCATAAATGGGGATGAAAGCTATGAAAGCATTACAACGCCAGTCACCTGACTGGCGTTGTACACAGTGTTGTGAATTGTCCATAATTCTTAAGAATCATTGACTTTAGAAATTTTATATTGATCATGGTGGCAAACTGGCCAACAATGTCCATGTATCGCATGGTAAGCGGGCGTGATGCATCCATATGGGCCGATGATAAATCTCGTGCCGCAGAAGGAAATTTGTGGAAACACGCTCACTTCAAATACAAGCAAAACAATCTCAAATTAAACTTGTGAACAAAGAAAATGCATACATAGACATAAAGAGACCAAGTTCTGTGAATTAACTTGCAGAAATCATCTCAGATCTTCTTAGCTGCAAGGTTGTGTACTTGGATGGCCAGTAGTGTAACAACTCCTTTTTGACCAGGATATATAGATTGGTTGCCACATTTCCATCACGTGTTTTAAGCATGGGCAGGGCATGGCATGGCGGGAACCAGCGCAGCTTTGCTTAAATGCATTGAGCTTTGTGCATGTGTTTTCACACTGTGACAGCGAAACGTGAAGGGAACTTATGAAAATAGCCTTAGTTTCTCTTCAAAAGTTGCAAATGCAAGTAGGAAATCATATGTGACCCACTACCACAAAATGGGCGTAAAGTCGCACAGTACTGTTTTGCTGTACGGCGGGCCAAAGTCAAACTTTGAAGGGGTGGTCAATTTTGGCTTTTTATGATTTTTGTATCTACAGCTCTTTTTCTACCCATTCTGTAGTTTTGGGACAATTCTGCAATCAGAAAAGTATATTTTCAGCCCATTTTTGTCATGGTGACCATTCTGATTATTTTCTGAAATGTTGAAACAAAGACACGGACAATGATAAAACATGCAGTATTAGATTGGCACTTTCCCTCCCCCTTCGTCTACTGTACACCTACCCACACAATTCTGGTATCGTCTGAAAGCTCACAGTATGGCCTGCTTTATTTTTGCACATGTATTTAGGAAATTTCTTCAACATACATTATTCCGTGTGATTGTTTAATACATGTGCACATCTTTGAAGCCTCTTTTCTAGGAAACTATTCTGTAAAATGTATGGAGACTCAACACATTTCCAAGGCTCTAACGAGAGAAGTTGGGGTTGTACACCCATGAATTTTACATCGTTAGGAAGCTTTTTTATTGCAGATTTCAAAAATACCAAAAGCTTGAATTTGAAAAAATCTGACTTTATGCTCATTTTAATGTGAAAAAGATGTTATTCAGAGGTGTTTTTGAAAATTTGTATTTTCTTACTTGCCGGTAACAATTCTAGGGTCGAGCTACAAAATTATTAGGGTTTGTCGGGAAACCAGGTGCAGAAGATTTTTTACCTCATTTGTTAAACAAGCTGCTTGCAGCTTATACAGTGATCAGTGGTTTCATTCCTTCATCATAATCTGTCACATGCTCTATGAATCATCTAATAGGCAAGGCATTGTAGAGTAACGTTGTATAAATTTACACAGGATGCATGTACATGTACCTAGTGAATGCAATAGGACATTATATTGTGATTGAAAGGCATTGCAGTGGAGTGTGGCAAATGCATAGTCCAGTGAGTGAAATCACAACTTGACATTCTTAGGAATTCGGTGGGATTCACCAGTCCTCCATCAGTCCAGAGATACTGTATATGTAGTAACCATAATTGAGAGTGACTCACCTGGGTTACAGACCTGCAGGTGCTGTGCTGTAACTGACATACATGTACTTGTTATTGGCGTGGGGTTAGTACTGGTACTACATTGTAATGATATGAAAATGAGTATAGTCCCAGACCAGTATTTTAATAAATTTACATATTACATTACATGGAAAATGTCTGAGAAGAACCTACAAAATACTGACACCTGCAGAAGAAGGCAGACGTACATGTTCATGTACAATGCACTGACATTCGAGTGTTTACACTTTACAAACAATATAGTCAAGTTACGGAATAATACCCGGAAAATCAGTAGTGTGAGTATGGTACCTACCGTCAGCTTTATTTGTGGTAAATGGTACCACTTATGAAACACTTTACTTTCGGTGGATGCCATGTTAATGTTTAATACCCACTACAGGTCTTGTGACTTAGTAGGCATAATCAGTCTATAGGACAACTTGTGGGGGGGGGAGCCATGACAGGTAAAGTTACCAGGGTTGAAACTTTTAAAAAGCAAAATAACGGTACACCAAGATCTTGCATATTGTACTTATGAATTTGAATCTGTCCATTTGTGATTTTTGTAAGTGCACAGTTGTGTTTACCACATACATGTACATGTACCACACATGTACTGTACCATGCAAGTGCAGTAGCTGTACCTACAACTTGATTTACACTACCAGTCTGACGGCAAGTGAGATGAAGTAGATGCCGGAGGGGCATATCAACAACTTTATTATTGTCAGTATAAAAGTTCAAGCTCAAATAATTTAGTGCACTCTTAAATTTGGGTTATTTTTGAAAAATCTTCTAAAGAGTATGTCTTTGTAAAATTAGTTGAATTCTCTACTGTCGTTTCATCAGTCGAAGACAATTGTAATTATTGACAAAATATTGAGTAAAGGATTACTTTGCTAATTTCTATTATATTTCGAATGACGTTCCATTCTTGAGTCAGCTACCAATATCTCATTCCCTTTTCAAGATGACTGAAGTAATATCTTTCTTCACAGACACTAGTCCATTAACCTGAAGCACAGGTTTCCATTTTGTCTACGTGCATATGCTATGCCTTGTAAGTGATTTAAAAATTCATTAATTCCTTTTTTTTGTTTTAATGCATGCTAAGAAATATATGCAACTCTTCTTTCATGACATTTTCAACTTGCATTGACTGTACTATCAGTGTTTGGGTTAATTGGTTTACCGTAACACTGGTAGTTACTGCAAACCAATTTAAAGTCCAAACACTGATTTTCATGATGCAAAGCCTCAAATTAGTAATTGTACCATCACTGTTACAAGTATTAGCTTAAATATACCTGTAGCATATACAAATGGTCGAGTACTGTCTTGTAAGTACCAGTAGTCAGTTTGGTGCTTGGTATTTTGGCACTAAAAGGTGTGCACCTGCAACCTGGAAAAGCCAAAGAATTATATTGGAAAAGGTAACAATATTGACAGCACGTTTGCAGTCTGGTATCTTGGTTTTGATGTCATATTGACAGCACGTTTGCAGTCTGGTATCTTGGTTTTGATGTCATCCAGCTGAACAACTGTCAACAATGTAGAACTTATATGGACAAAGTATATGTAGACAGCCTACCTACCCTACCCCTTCTAAGACTTCAAAATAAACCCGTCTGGAGAATTCATGTGAGTTTGATGAAATCCGTTTGAGCAGATAAAGAGATTTATTTTTGTTGCCTGTTGTTTGTTCATAAAGGTCACGGCCTTATTGTTGGTGGATTGGAGTTCTAATTAAAGCCAGTTTGTGTCAGTAGATACCTATATTTTGTGCTAGACATGTATACATATACATTAGGCTCCACTTTTACCCTGACATACATGTACATGTCTATGTACATACCAGTATATGTACATGGACCTGTAGTGACAAGTTTTAGTTCCATGCAATCAGTGGTGTCTTGATAAAGTGGATATTTGAGTAGAGATCAATTTACCATATTGTTTTTCTGTTCAAAAGACATGTCGTTTCTCATAGTAGTCCAAAGTGCTAATTTATGACAATTGAAAGGACTTTACTTCACTGACAGGTGCAAGTTGCATGCTCGTCATCACTTTGTGTTCGCAGATTGCTTTTTTCCTCATCATCAACTTTTTCTTGATGTTTATGTTGCATGTAATTGCCTCCCAAGGGATTTTAAGCATTTTGCTCTCCTTGTGTGTACATCATTTGAATTACTAGCCTTAACTAGGCTAACAATATTCAGTATAGTGCCATAGCACTGTATGGTACATGTATATTGTCTTATCTGTTGTTTTTTATAAGGTCATGTCCTTTTACATACAAGTGACAGCACTGAATATTACATTTTACTACTATTAGTACTTTGTAGTATTCAGGGCTGTTAGGGCTAGCTAGAGAACACACAAAAAAAAAAACTCAGGACAGACATTCCCATGTCTGGTGTGCAGTTGTGCACCCAGGATAGGGGGGGGTTTGAACCAGAATGTACCAAAAGTCCCCTTCCTCCAGTCATACCATAGGGGACTGGGATTTATGGCTATATCACTCAGAGCCAGAAGTATCAGATACATACATGTTGGTGTATATTGGTTTTCATGATTTCTTAGGAAGCCAAACAAAAAAAAGGCAAGAAGAGAACCTTTAGGGGCTCAACCCCCCCTCCCAACTAGTGTTCCACTGTGTACAAGAGGTGTTCCAAACCATAGGTTTCATGGAAGACCTCTGGTTAAAACATCAACTATTTTTAATTTATTTAACTCTGTATTTAACTAAATAAAACCCATCAGTTAACTGTTCGCTTTAGAGGCCCAAGGGGAATCAAAGAAGAAAACCAAGACATGTTCACTTTTAGAGATGAGAGAAACCCCCAGACAGATACATGCATTTTTAGGAAAACCCATGAAATCAGATAACAGTGCATGTTGGCCTGGGTGGGATTCAAACCCAGGCCACAGGAAAGTACCTATTTGCCAATCTGACTCCCCGAACCTGTAACTTTTGTTTGTTCATTTTTATAGTCCATGTGCTTGTGTGTACTGTCATGGTAGTAGGAGACCATGCATATATTACTAGTATGCATGTAGAGTACTGTACCTGGTTGATTGGAGAAAGAATAGATGCCCAATGGGTTTTGAAGTGTTGGTACATGTACCAAGCAACAACCATGGAACAAGAAGTGTCTGTCTCTGTGACAGTAGGCTAAAAGCCTACTTGTGATGGACTTTCAGGGACTGGTGATGGACTCCAATGCAACACTGCGCCCTTACAAATATTCATATTTTAAAACCACAGGATAATGAATTTGATATTTGCTTAGCATAGAAAGCTTTATGTGTCCTCCAGCAAAAACTTTTACCTGTGCATATTTTATTTGATGTAATTCATGACTTATTTTTTCTGATGAACAACTCTTTTTGCTAAGTAAGGAGTATCTTTTACTTCATAAGTTCCATCTGTCAATGTTCAACCAAATCCAACATACTCAACATTGTTTTTGTACCTTTCATCTTCTTTTTTGTTCAGATTTCTTAATGATGTTTTCCTTCAAAACGCTGTGAAGAAGCATTTCGTGATGTTAGTCTGTTGGCCAAAAGTTATACAGCAATGGCTGTCAGCAGCCATCTTCTGCTTGGTTTTCATGTCTTCATGTTGTGCACCCACCGAGCCTACACTGATATTCTCCTATGATGATAGTGAGTGGTTATTCCTTGTTTCACATCTTATTCTTTTACTGCAATAGAAATGATGGCCGTACATCTTTGGTGAATCCAGTCATGGATCCAACCTAATTTTCCAAATGGCTAGGCAGTTAGGTAATTGAATGTATACATACATGTACCCTCTTTTGGACCCTCATGAATATAACTGTCAAAGTCAATCAGGCAAAGACAATCACAGTTTTCGTGTTACATTTTCTTTGAAAGTGATTGAAACAATATCAGCTAGAATAAGAGACACAGGTAACAAATCATTTCTGTCCTACTGTTACCGGTAAATTGAAATGACTCAACTACAGTTATATGTAATGTTTTGCATACACGTGACATAATTCACCCAGGAATGCCAGCAAGACCCTGCTTTAGGCAGCAGGGTCTGTCATGGCGGACCTACATGAGCCATGAGAATGACATCACAGGCACTAGGCTAATTCAACTTAACCCGGGGAAGCTATCAAACCAATCCATCCTATCCATGGTTTCTTGGCCTTGCCCGATGCAGTGTTTCAGTGGTTTTGTTTTGTTTTGTTTTTTTTCTTTGTGGCTAAATCCAATTACATTTAAAATTTACTCTCAAGGGTGATTGCTTCATTAGCAGCATCAAATAAATGTGGAAAAATGCCACATTTACCTCATAAGTCAGGGGATGCTTGATTTAATGCTCACAACAGTGCTTCCTAGGGTATTGATGCTGTTGTACATAAGGCATATAAATATAGTGACCAACTCAAGTTTGTATAAGGGTGACACTTTGATATTTTGTATTCATATTTAGGTACTCCTTTCCCAAATGCTGTCAAGTGTTTCACCTGCATAGACAAGAAGAGTAACAGAGAATGCAATGAGAGAGCCTATGATGCATTTTGCCCAAAAGGTAGGCAAAACACTTGACCATATTGATAGCAACAAAGTGATGTACATGATTTGCAGCACCATTGTGAGAGTATTGCAGCCAGGATTGGTATCAACTGTGTGTTTTGTACCATGAAGCAGGGTTGAAGTTCAAACACCTGTACTGTGGTATGACACATGATGATTTATCTTGTGTGTTTGATTCCAAATTGGTTGATGTTACTGCTCTATCCATGACTTCAGTGTCAATGGGTTGTTAGGGAGGGGTAGAGGATTCCATTTTGTGCTCATTGTTCTGAAATATATCACTACTTGTTTTCAGTGTATATTTTTTATACAAATTCTACTCAAACTGTTTTTAAATGAATTTTCAGATGTACCTTGATTGCATCATGGGGGAAGTACATGTACCTATATGATCACTCATATGTCAATGTTTGAAGGACATGTTCATTTATGCTCCAATGCTTGTCTCACACTTCATTATTGCATTGGTTTATTTGACTTTAGGAACCAAATACTGTTACTCATCCCATTATGTGAACCAAAAGACTGGAGAAAGCATATTAGTCAACAAGAAATGTGCTCTAACAGAAGACTGTACAACGAATACAGTAGGCTGTACAGACACAAGCACAAAACATGTACAGGTGAGTTTGAAGTAAGGGCGTGGTCTAAGGTGTACACTTTCATGTAAGTTGTTTGATGGAACCTTATTCCTGTGCAACAAAGGCTGTGAAGCAAAATGAAATGCATAAATGCAACCAGAAATGTACTGACTAAGATCAGTGTTGGGCCAAGGTTTTGGGTAGAGAGGGTGCCATAGCAGGGTGGAGCTGCATGAAGGACATAAAGAGAAGAAAGAATGCAGCTAACAGTAAACATTGCAAAGACCTTAAGACTGACTGCTGTGATGTGAAATATGATGTTTTGCCACCTGAGGGACTCAGCACCATACCCCCCTCTTTAGGTGAAGCAAAGATTGCTATGCACCCTTGAGGGTGTTAAAACATGAAATTCCACATCACAACAGTCAGTCTTATATTCTTTGCAGTATTTTCCTCACACGAAAGTCTCCAATGAAGTCTAACTAAAATGCACAGACAGATGTACGATATGATCCACATGGAATTCTAAGGCTCTATCAGTTTCATTGTCTTGGTCACACATCTTGCTGCAGAGCAGTATTTTTATGTCTTTAAAAAGTTTTGGAGAATCTGTATCTATCTCCAAGCTCAACAAATATTGTGTTTAGGACGAAGAAACAAACTTGAAATAAATTTCAACTTTCGACAAAAAATCATAGTGGTCTAACAGCTGATTGTATCATACATGTATGTCAGTTTGCTGCTGCCTCTAAAGTATTCATGTACCATATGTTTGATCAAGTGTATTGGTAAAGTAACAGAGGTAACAAGAAGTCTGAATAACAGTCCCTGCATTATTGTTGGGACTGTGAGATGGACTGTATCATACCGTATCCAAGGTTGAGGGAATTTTTAGCACTTGGATATGTGATTGTTTTGGCACAAGGAATCAGCATTTCTTACTTTTTATAAAATATGCATAAACTTCAGTTTTTGCATGTAAATAGACATGTTTTATCTCTGAAAGCATACATGCAAGTGATGTGATGCCACACATAAAAAGTGGAAGATTGTTGGGTAATTAGTTTTTCCCCTTGTGTTTTCCCTTGGAAGTAAATCCATTGACTTACGTGTAATGGTGTAGTGGTGTGAATCATTCCCACACTATTTGCTGAAAATTCTCATGAGTACTGACTGAATTACAATACAGGGTGTACAGGCCTACTTCTATATTCATAAGCACTGCTATTAGAATGAATTCTAAATGAGCATTGTCTTTCTTTTCCTTTGGGCCATAGAGGTGTGTTTCGTGTTGTGAGGGTACACAGTGTAACGTCTTGTCTCCACATAACTCCACAACAGCAGTCTTCAGCACGTTGACGCCGCTGAACACAGCACCACTCCTGAGAATACCCAATGTCATTTTAATATTAGGACTAATGACCGTAACAAGAATTCTCAGGCTAATAACGTAACACTGGGCTGACCATGTAAATAATGGATGTACATGTACATGTGTAGTTGAGTTCTTTGTCTTCTAGGATGCTGTTTAGCCAATCAGCTTGAAGTCATGAGTTTTGTATGCGTATATTGAAGCAGTAGCACTGTGGCTGACGCACAAAGTAATGTGAATGAAATTAATGCTAAAACAGAACCGTGCTCCTATCAAACAAATGTTGCCATTGTTTGATGTCTTTTTCTGCATGTCCAAACTTTAGGTACATTTGTATGAGTGGATAATGCACCTTAGATATGTGAGAGTAAATTTTGATGAGTAATGTCCAAGTTACAGATTTGAGAAAAGTAGCATCACTGGATGTTTGGAAATGTATGGTGTGTTTGTGCTTGAAACAGATTACAAACACATGGAAATTGCAGTAAGCTGAACTAATCCCATCTTCTTACTCGCAATGTTCATATTTCCATGTGTATTTTTTGTGTGTCTCTTCTAAAAATTGTGCTGACTTGGATTGTGTAGATAAAATTGATTGGAAATCATTGATACATGTAAGTTATCACTTCTTTTGGATTGTGATATGTAGTTTTGATCTCCAGATTGTAAGGCTGAAATTGAAGACTATTTTTTGGCCCAATTTTGCTAAAGGGTTGAGCATTCAAATGGCTGATTTGTTCACACTCAGTTTTTTCCTGAGTCAATTAATTCCCTTACCTGAAAATTTTGGCCATCAAGACGTCGTTTTTTTCCCTAGTTGCAGCATGCATGTGCAAGTTCACTGTGTTACTCCTGATCCTGAGCAACTATGTCATTGGTAGTGCTTGTCCTGTTAGTTGGTAAATAACTTCCTGCCAGTTAAGTTGGAGCAACTAATCATTCGGTTTTCTGAATGCTCATCTAGGAATTTTTGTTTTTCTGAGTACACAGTTTTGGTGTGTTTGCTTCACTTTACTTTGACAGAGTTGTGTGTATGGAATTGATGATGATTGTACGTGACTGAATAATCATTACTGCCCTGATATGTTAAACATTTACAATGAAAGTCAGGTCAAACACATCAAAATATGCAAAAACAACATCCAATTTGAGCTCATGATTTATTAATGTTCTAGAATCAGCGTTTTGTCATTTGTAGAGAGAATTTGTAAATTTTGTACATTTATATTATATCAGTCTTTAACAGCTGTATACAATTGTACATACAACCACTGTACCAATGTGAGTTGTGCTTCATGCATATTCATGATTTGCATATGCATTGTTTATAGTAAAATTAAACTTAACACTTACTATTACACCACTTTCAGTAACTTTTCTGTGTGACTGAAAACTTTGAATATTAACTGTAAATGTCAGTTCTGAGAGTGAATTTTGAAGGTACATGTACATGTACATGTGCATTGTTCACCTTACAAATTAGAGTATTCTATTTACAGAAGCAAGTCTGAAATTCCAGCCTGCATGCACTATCAATATACTCCACAGAAGTTCACTGATGTGTCAAACCATTCAGCAGTCATAAAATGGCCAGATAATTTTTAAGGAAGGAAAATTTGGGCAATAGAAGGAGATCTGATAAAAAGTTCCCTCAATTATAATATTGGTCATGGGCACACTGAATGTATTTATAAGTTAATAAAAGTCATGAAAGTCTCATCTAGAAAATGCTGCACCTTCATGAGAAGGTACCTTTTATTTCTGGAAAGGCAGATGAAGAGTTTATTTCCAACATACATGTATATGTTTTGGACAAAAGTGATTGTTTTTCGATTATGAAATATGAAAGCAGTATACTAGGTGTATCTAAACTCCATGTACATGAAATGCATGCATGTACGTATGTGGAAACTTGCAGCCAGGAGAAGATTCTTAAAGGGTACAAAAATGACACTTGTATCCACATTTTTTAACACACTCTTCAAATGGTGTTTTATTGTCTCAGTGAAGGAATTCTGCTTGAATGTGATGTTCCAAGAGTGGCAAGTTCCAATGGGTAATTGTAAAATTGAAGGGTCCCGCCAAAAAGAGCCGCTAGATTCCAAGATGAAACGGTTACCAGTGGCCTAACTATGAGACAGAGGATGCCTCTAGCATGTCTGCCCCCCCTTCCCTCAAAAATATACATATACATGTAAGCTGCAGTTTATTTGCTTGCAGCCCCTCCACAAACAAATGGGTTGCATATTGCACCCCAACCCTAGTTTCACCCAATTTACACCACTGGTTGTTACTACTGAATTATCTATCACTTTGGTAAGCAGTCTCTAATTTTCTTTTTTTCCTAGCAAGTTTTGTATCACCTTGAATACATCCTGATTGGTATACAGATAAAGGAAAGCACAAGCAAGATAAAACCTTTTTAAAGCAGATTTTTGTACTGAATTGCACAACCGACATTATTTTGGCGAATAAACAGATCTTACAACTGTCAAAGTATAAAACAAACTTACACCTCAGACTTAGACAATGTTCAAACATAAAAACCAACATATTACATGTGTGGATTAAATTACTCTTAAGGCATTCAGTATTCTAATACGTTCCCAATTCCTTCCCTCTGTACAGTGTTTGTTCTGTATCTGTATTTTATGATGCTTTTGGGGGTTGCATATACATGTCTTATTTTAGAGAATAAAATGTTGTTTTCTTGAAAAATGAACTCAATTTTCTAGTTTTTTGTCAGTTTTATTTTTGAAAAGGTTTGGAACCTAAATTGCCAGGTTCGTGAACCAAAGAATATTACGTAACACCACAAAATCTGGGCTCTTTTAACAAGGCTGCAGGCCTGGCTGAAATACTCAGGCGTCAATAGATTTTGTCTGTCTGGCTAGAGTGGACATCAGACATGCCTTCACGTGTTTTTAAGTGTCCAGTAAATGAAGATAAGAATTTTTAAAGAATTTTGAAAACGGAAAAAATGATAAATATCCCACCCCAGCATAATCAACATTGATAAATGCCCCGGCAGGAAGAGGTTCAGAGTTAATTTTATGACAGATCAGTGGAAACTATTTTTACTAAGGATGAATTTGTAGGCTTGGTAAAACAGCTAAATATGAGAACTGACACCTAGTCCAATTCTACCAAATTCCAACACATAATGAAAATATGCATGGATTTTTTTGGATATAGTTCACATGTGACATGATGGCATTAACAATACACCTTTGTAGACTCATTGGCCCCTTCGCGCCAGACGCGTTAAGACACGCCGTAAAAATTGAGATCCTCGGCCCGCTTTTCTGCTATTATTCTCGGCCCACGCTCCAGCGAACCTGGTGAAAGGCAGACCCTGGCTCATATATATATGGTAATTGGCCTTTGTGTGTAGCCCAGAAATGAAAAGACCAAATTTGCATCATAATCACAAGCTTCACAATAGTCCCCACTTTGAAAAGAGGCAACGGGAATGTGGAAGCTTGAATAGAGCCGCATGCCACCGAACAATCAGCCTTTTCATCATGTAATTCAAAGCGTGCAGAGCACGCTGGGCCACAAACCGAGAATTTGGGGTTTGGCAGGTGGCCTTTGCGGCCAAGCGAGGCTGGAATTCTTGGAGTCGGCTTTCGGAAAGAAATTTCCGTTGAGAAGGGGTTAATGACCAAATGTTCATGTGTCAATTTGTTGCTCATACAAACAGAGTTCATTGTGAATCATTTAATTTTATGGTCACAAACTAATCACAGAAATCAGTATTTCTATTGACCACTTGCTGCCAAGAACCCCGTTTCGAGCACCATGGGTTTATACATAGAGCCGGGGTGCCCGAAATGGGACAAAAGAGCTGGTCCATGTAACAAAAGACTGTACTCGGAACAAAAGACCTCCTGTTGGGAATTGCCATCATTTTTCGGCTTGCATTTTTTTAAGGTAATCTTTCACTGTTTTTAAACAGTATACCATTGTTTTGGGCATAGTACCCGCGGATTAGCACCGCAGACAAAAGTGCTCCACAGCACCACTGCATGCTAATCCAACCGCGTGTTGAAGGACACTACTCACATTCCTTGGGGAAAAAGGAAATTACGCAATACCTCACAATTCTGGGCTCTCTTACAGGGTGGCAGGCCTGGCTGAAATATTCAGGAGTCAAGGAAGGTTGCCTGTCAGCTTAGAGTAGCCCCCAAACAGTCATTTGTGTGGGTGGGTGTAAATGTCCATTAAATGAAATGATGAATTTTTGAAGAATTTTGAAAACTGAAAATCTTGAAAATCTCCCATATGTGTGCAATGCATTTTTTAAAGCACCCAGCAGCAAGTGGTTAAGACTGAAGAACCTCCACTGGACAAGATGGTTGAGCCAGCCCTTTATGCACCATTAATCGTGTAGGTCTGGAATTCGGATACCACAGCACTGGTTTACATGCTCTATGCTGATGGTGGATCCTGAAACAAATTTGGGGGAGGCCGAGATTTTTAGGGATGGCCCCCAAAAGTTGTATGTAACCTGGTGTATATATATCTATAAAACAACCAAAAAAGTTGTACTGTTCCCCCTGATTTTTTTAATTGGGGATATTTCTCTCTTGTGTATGATCTGCAATCTTAACATCTTCCTTGACACTCATGTCACATGCAAACTTAAATTGCACAACTAAAATGGCATGCTCTAGGAAAGGCAACAAATTTCCAGTTGTACAAGCACAAAAAGGAGCTCTGCTGTTGTCCAGTGTCCACTGATGGAGAAATGTCCTACAGCACAGATTGTCATTTCATCCCTGTTTCTTGTCTTGCCTGACTCTTCTGCAATCATCATTGAAGTTGAGCCACTTTCATTGGGCATGATGCAGACAGAGTCAAGAAGAATGGCCCTTCCTGCCCTGGACTGAATGTTGTTGGTCGGACATTATATGTTCCTCCTGGTAAATCCTCTAGTTGAAGCACAGTGAAACCCCGCCTGCATAACAAGGAAGTGATATTTATTAGAATGCAAACTACTAACCTTTTAGTTAGGAAATTCCCTAAAAGAAAATCAGGAAATCACAGTGTATCAAGAACAACAATAACCGAACACCCAAAATAATGCTGGAAAATATGAAGGAATCATGGAACAAATCAGTATCTGGAGAGTACATCTGCAACCACTGAACTTAACCACTTTGCACTCGGGTGCCCAGTACTGGAGACACGGTACGTGGCCCATGAGGCAGGGGTGCCCGAAATCGGAACTTTCTTTAAAAACGATGATAAAGTTGCTGGGCATTTTTAGAAAAAGGTACTTGCTGTCAGTCAAAAGTTTGGGCCATCAGTGAAGGTAATTCCATCACTGATGGACAACAATGGGTTCACTTGACCGGAAAACTGGGCCTTTATTCATGGCCGCAGTGACCAAACTTGGAAACAAAAGACCGAGCTGCTGGGACTTGCCAATGAAGGTTCGTATGCCGTCAGTGCAGAGTGCTGGCCATTAGCAGAGGTACATGTAATCTATCGTTTAAAAAAGGCTTTTGCCCGTACCCACTATACATTTATATTTAAATAATCCATCAGTGATGAAATGACAACTATTTTGAAACAGTATCATTGTTTGCCACTGCCAGTGTCCATGAATTATTAGTGGGGACAAAAGCGCGGGCTCCAGCGATTAGCGATACAATACCTGCTGCGCGCTAGTAGAATCTGGCCGCATCGTGCAGCATTCATTGTGCTGATGTGCCCATTGAATGGCCAGGTTCACCCTCATGGCCCACACGCTCTGCATAGCAACACCGGCCATCCAGCTTAGCAACACACTGGGCTTATTCCCAGCACAAAGAGGAAATTATGTGACACCGCATAATGGGGGCTCTTTACTGGGCAAAAATACTCACACATCAATGAAGGTTGCCTGTCAGGTTAGAGTCGACACAGGAAAGTCATTCTTTTGATTGTATGTGTGCAATAAATGAAGATATGAATTTGTGAAAAATTTTGAACGGGAGAAAATGAAAAAGTGCCTAGCCCAGCAGCCTGAACAACGGCCCGGAGCGAAGTGGTTAATCTAGTAAATGATAACCCAAATGATCAGCTAAATCTAGCGGTCTTGTTGCCAGTCCATCAGTTGTCAACTGCTTGACAAATTCCAAGTTCTTTTTTGATGCAACACTGCAACTTACAAATCGTACTCTCCAGAAATTGTTACATTCCAGAAATTGGCCTGGTATGAATGCAACTGATTGGCCCCTGTCAAGGACATAGTCAATTTATTATTATGCCTCCGGCTGATTCATCACGTTGATGAATACTGCCTTTTCAAGCTATGTGCATGATCTAAAATGCTGTTGCTGTTGTAACGAAAGCAAAAGTAAGTGAACATGAAACAAGGACTTGAAGATTAATTATGGAAGAAATCTTCAGTTGACTTCCAGATTGTAAACAAACAGCAGAGTTCCACCTAATATCATCCAGAAAGTTAAGACACAGATCTCATTGCTGACCAACACGTCTAACTGGATGGAATTTCAGGCTATTTGTCATGAAACACAGGAATAGGTGGAAAGGCTTGCTCCCAGTTCTATTCAAAACCACACATACTCATAAGAGATACATTCCTTTGCATGGTGCTACCGCAAGGCTTTCCACCTATTAACTCTGACTGCGTTGGCATACATGGTGAAAACATGCATGAGATCCAACATCTGCCATTTATTAGGGGATAAGTTGAGTGGATATGTGACTCTCAACTCAAACAAAACTCAAATGCTGCCTGGTTTTACCAGAATACAACCAATAACAGCACAAAATAAGCATTTTTTAATAATACATGTAGACCTTTTAAAAGATTTTTTATCACAAAAAACATGATGGAGATTAGCCACAGTGGCTGAATGAGTGGCTTCAACTCATTAGAAAAGGACAGCCTTAATATGGTCAAATCTTGAAGATGTTTTGGTACATGCCTGTAATCTCCAGTCATCTGTTTGCTGAATGCTGCTGTACCAGGACCCTCTGCTGCAATCGCAACAAGCTCAAACCCAACATGAAACTCTCTACAGGAACACAAGGAAAATGCTTCAACATGAATACAAATATCACGCAAATGGCATGGACAATGCTAGTGTAGAAGGCATTAAACATCCGTTGCAGCTAAATGTTCCAGTGGTATTTGTTATTAGGCATATCTCTTGGGATATACACTCTACTTGTTGAGCAGGGCAAGGACTGTGGAAATCTACGAGTATCCCAGCACAAACTTTTGTACAAAAAGGCCAATAATGGCACTATCCTGTCAAGACAAACACATGAAGACATGAGGTGAAGAGGCGAAAATAGCAGAATAAAGAAGAAAACCCCCACAGCACCGGTAAAGTGGAATTTAATGTTGATTGTACAAATAACTGGAATGACCATAAAGCATGCAATACTTTACATGTACATGCATACCCGTTTCTACTAAATCAGACAGATAAAAGTCATTTTGCTTTGCACGGGTCCAAATTTTAGCCTCTAAAGAACTTTGGTTGAACAGTTGTTAAACTGTGTCTGGGTCTAAAATTACAATGCTTCAATGTGACTGTGACTGGCCCCAGGCCCAGACTCCTTTCCTAACTAGGAATGAGAATGTACTTTTAATTTGGCAACATTTCAAACACTGTCGCATACAGCAGAGGCTGTCAACAAAATCTGCCAATGATTAACAACAATTAGGATTCCAAATGTGTAATGAAAACCTACGTGGCTCTAATAATGTTTGTAAATCAAACAATTTAACAGACATTGTTTATGCTTACAGTAATACAAATGGACGACATGGCATCAACATAAGATCCAAATTTGTAAAATCTGGTTCTAGATAAACCTTTCAAAAAAGCTATAAACAGATTTAGGATAGGATTCATTAACATGTTGGCAAGTACACAATGCAATATCCATGTTCCTGACCTTGGTCCCTTGAGGTCAATCATGAAGAAGTTCCCTTTTGTCTTTTCTTGTAAGGTAACCTGGTAGATGGGGTTATTGGTAAATGTTGCTCGGTTGTTGGCACACCCTCCAGCTGTCTTACCCTTCCACTCTCCAGTTATCTGGAAAATAAAAACTACAATTTAGTCACTGCAACTTTTATTTGACCATACGAAACAAGCATCGCACACTTCTAAATGATAATGACAATGTTGAAACATTAACCTCAAATTTCTTCCCTCCAAGCATACAAACTACTTGTAGCTTCATTCTTTGACACAGCATATAGTGTGAATCAAGCTCAGCCTGAATACTCCTCACATGCTATCTGCCTTGAGCTGAAGTGTACCTTCACCAACAAAAAAAAGACAGAGGGTACTAACTTTTCCAAACAGGTTCTAGCATGCATTTGGTGTGCACGTGAAGACCATACATTCCAGAATATGAGGTGAATACGTACCCAAGGACTGTCAATTTCATTCAAAACACGCCCTCTTTTGTTCCTCCTTGGAGTGGATAATATGCACATACATGTAACTATTGTAGAGGATAAACCCTTGTGCATGCCAAACAATGCATGTTGTTTGGCCCACATCCATTGTTTGGCATGCACAAGGGTTTATCCACTAGGAACACAGGGTGTGGGTTCCCTTGTTTTCTGTTTTCTCTGAATGACGCAATCTACATTCAGAATTCGCATCTCGGCATGAACAGAAAAAAAGCCCTTTTTAGCTTGTTATAGATGAGCTCTGAAGACAAAAGACAATGCGTTTGATTTGGATGCTTCCATATTTATTTGAACAGATAAAATCAGAGAAACATGTTTTCCTTTGAGGTGCTTTGAGGTGGACTGACCTGTTTGGTATTTGTGTAGGGTTCTGGCATCTTGCTCAGCTTAAACTCGCATGTACTGTAGACCTGCAAAATGCCAACGGATTTTTTAAGTTTTATCGTAACAAGCAGAAACACAACAACATATACTTGTTACTAGGTAATAGGGACTACTAGGAAATAAAGACATTATGGGAAACAAAAGTGTTACCATTCATGAGTGCAGTAGGCCATATTGGCCATGTCTGAGTAGCTGGCTTGACCAGCTAATAAGATCAAGAACATTCACAGCCCAGTCAATAGTTTTAAACCAGTTGAAATGCATGCAGTTTAGGAGTAATTGTGGATCCTGCAAAATTGCAACATTTAATGCATCAAGGATTGGGGGTGGACACCTTATTAATGCAACAAAAACTACTAATCAGTATTTGAATGACTTACACAAGTGGATGCACAGTTGTGAAAAACTCTGCTTGGTTGGAACTATCCAACCCTCTCAATAGTCAACTTTGACCACCATAGGCTGCTTACCCTAAGTGAATAGCGAATGGTGTTGCTCTTTTCAAATTGAGAAACTACAACTGTAAATAAGCTTCTCTCTTGGATCAGCATCTTGCATAGATAATGAGGACTGTTGATCCTTGTCCCATCAATGAATGGAGGAGGGTCATCTACACAGGAAAAACACAAGCCTGAAAATCACTCTACTGTAATACATGTACCTGCAACGAGTTTCTTCATTTACCAACCCACCAAAACAGTGAGATGGTTGCCCTCATTTTAGAAGTGACTTTTCCTTTTTTTTTCTTGTTCCATTTTCCAACAGTGCCTCTGTAAAAAAATCTATTATCCCCCCCAAAATAATTAAGTTTGATCCTGCTATAAAAACAGCTGGTTAAAGTCAAGATGAGAATAAGTGAGATGACAGTCTCCCACTCTAAGGACAACAATGAACTGGGATCGTTTAGCATGTCCATCTACATGTGCACTACTGCAGCCATATTGACTGCAGGGTACACAGTGTACAAAGCAGGCAGTATCTTGCAAATTGTCTGCTGTTGTCCTTTTGTCAGTATTTCACCATTGTTGGGATGTCAGATGAGCAAAGCATATTGAACAAATCCATGTTCATCTACAGACCTATTTCCAACAATTCTCTCATAGTGCATGTATAATGGATGTAAGGGGACTTGCTACTATGCATGCAACTTCTGTGCATTTTGAACTGCTAAATTTGTAAAGGACTGGCCATTAGGTCACACACCTAGCACGTTCTGGTACATACCGGTAGTTTTGGCTGTGTTTTGGTCTGGCAGCAAACTGATCTCTATCTTAGTCCATAAATTCCATGCTTGTGCTGGCTTTTGCATCCTCACATACCTTGAAATAGGCATGGCCAGTCACTCAGTTTGTTTGCTTGGCATAAGTCTGGTTAAAATAACACAACTTTCATCATCTCTAGTTGGAAATGATGAATGTCTCTTACTCTTCTTGTGAAGTGAGGTTAAAAATGTATGGAAAATGTACATGCATATGTACCATCCATTCATTTGCACAGCCAATCCATTTTTGCAAACGGAACATTTCAGTTGGTGCTTTTTTCTCAGTAATCCAATACTTAAGAAAAGCACGCCATGCCATGGAAACACCAACAATTTTCTGAGGTCTGCTAGACAAAAATTTGTGATTGGTCACAACGTGTTAGGTTGTGATGTAATGGCCTGTCCAAATATGTTAATAGTCTATACTGTACAAGAAGAACTCAACAACTGTTTGTGCATGCACTTGTTCATGAACAGTTGAACGTGTAAGTTTTGTCTGAAAATGTGCAAACACATGGGATCTGCCATGTTCTCCAGACATCTAACACACATGGTAGTCAGGTACATGTATCTGCCTAGCCTGACTCTTGTCTTCAGTGGGAGAGTTAATTGTACAGAGCTCCTAGGGTATGACAGCTAGACTTACTGGGGTAGTACACTTTCTTGCCTCCCTTATAGACAAGCAAGGTGATAAATTCCTTGTTGTCTGCAAAGTCATCCTGATGTACAGGTAAATAAACAAAACAAAACATTCAAAAAGTTATTCCAGAAGGAAACATACTGTAATGTGGTGGCGTGCTGTTACTATGTTGTGTAAAATGGCTTTTATTCATGTCCCCAAAACATTTGCAAAAATGAAATGTGCAAAAGTTATCTAACAAAAAATGTCCAAAGAACTCACACTGCAAGCCAAAATTAAAATGGTGTATTTTAAAAGTTTTTTTGATACTTTTATGAAAAGTTGCAAACCTGTCTTTCTAAACCAGGTGTTGGGAAATTTATTTACAAACATATCCCAATTAGAAGTGCTGTTACTCATTTAAACAGTATTTAATTGCTGTTCATTTTAGATTTCATAAAATTTCTGTCTTCAATTCCTTTTTTCTTTCTGTTTACATGTAATTGATTAAGATACACATTTCTTCAATTTTCTTTCATTAGGTAATTCCAGAAACCATTAAATCAAACCACCAAAATTTCAAAATCATCAAAGTGCGTGCTGTCTTGTATCCAAGGTTACAATTTGTAGTTTTGTGTTGAATTTGATCAAATATACAGCATTTGTCTGAAATAACAGTTTATATGAGCAATATCAAAAACACAGGTATTTAAGCTTCAGAAGTCCCTTATTTTTGTTACAATGCAATTTGTATCTAATTTACAGGTCAACGGATATTAATAGAATACTTCAGAGGTGCTTGTTTTTTGTACTGGACATGAGTTGGATAAGGTCTACTCCTAAAACCAAAAATGGCTAATTTTGATATTTAAAAAAAATGAAGTGTTTTAGAACTGTAGTGACTCAAACATGTACATCTCCTGTGCACTTTATGAAGTCTAAATAAGCACTACTTAGTGGCCTTCTACCGGCATGTGTTGAAGTTTGAAACAGATATGGTTTTGGACAGACACTGAATGACTATGCACATACATGAAACCACATACATCCCAAACTGATGCATGTGCATCCGCTTCGCATCCGAATGTGCAGTGCTCTTGCTTGAGTCTCATCCACTAACTTAACCCAAACCTCTCCATTTACTGCACACTGTTCTAACAGGCAGTCAGCTGCATCTCATCAACACACAGTCATCATCCCAAAGTCAGTGTTGTATTTGAGTCCATCACAAGTCCCCGTAAGTCCATCACAAGTCCCCGTAAGTCCATCACAAGTCCCTGTAAGTCCGTCACAAGTCTCCGTAAGTCCGTCACAAGTCCCCGTAAGTCCATCACAAATCATTCAGTCTTAAGCCAATTCACAAACTAGCTGTGACAAAAGCATTCTTTTGTCATACATGTAGTTCACCCTGCTACTTAGGACTGGCCTTGCGAAGGGACTTGTGA